TTTGGTTTTCGGGAAACAGTTGGAACTAGGGAAGCAATTTTCGCTCTCCAGTAGAGACATTAATAAAGATATGCGTTTATGCTTAGTGGATTTTAGAAAAGCATTTGACAATGTTAATCGTAAACAACTAATAGATATTGTTCTGAAGACATGTATTGACGACAATGATATTCGGATTGTAGCAAACCTACACTGGAATGAAACACCAAGAGCACAAACAGGCAGTGAACTTATTGAAAGTGTGAAATTAAAATAGGTGTCCGGCAGGGGTATATCTTATCCCCAATCCTCTTCCCCCCGATATCTACTTCGAGGAAATATTAAAAAAATGTTTGAAAAATGCAACATATGGAATGAAAATAAACGGTGAATTAACGAACAACATAAGATATGTCGATAAACTTGCCAGTAGCATAGAGAAATTACAACAGTCAATGGAAAGGGTTAATGCAGTCAGTGAGGACTACGTTCTGAGCCTTAATTTTAAGAAGACAAAATGGATGCTGATAAGCAAAAAGCAAAAATCTGCTTGACAGTTACGGATAAAAAACATACTAATTGACCATGTAGAACCTTACGTTTACCTTGGCACTAACCATAGAACGAGCTAGCATTTAACAGGATGAAAAAGTTCCTCATCATAAGCAAGGATTTGTCTCTTTTTTTTTATTTGATCTTACATGTTGTGCGGAGGTCTGGATGCGGACAGAGATGCTCATGGAAAAACTACAAGCATTCGAAATGTGAGTGTACCGCCGCATTCTTCGTATATCCTGGACCGAACATGTCACCAACATAGAGAATTGGAAAAGAAATAGAATAGTCAGCACAATTTACGTAGAGAAAACTTGCAAATCTAGGCCGCATACTGAGAAAAGATAAGTACCGCCTATTTTAATTGATTATCCAGGGAAAAATGGTTAACAGGCGAGGCCTAGGCAGGAGAAGACACTCGTGGCTCCAAAATCTGCGGAAATGGTTCCGGATCACATCGGTCGAATTATTTAGAAGTGCCATAAGCAAGATCAGAATTGCCATGTTAATAGCCAACGTTCGCAACGGACAAAGCATCTGAAGAAAAAGAAGAAGGTTTGTCTTTATCGTGTTGTGTTATTTATATCTTCTTCTTCAGTGCCTTATCCGGTCCGGATGTTGGCGATCATCAAGGCTATCATGGTTTTGTTGACTGTTCTGCGAAACAGCTCCGCTGAGGTAATCCCAAACCATTGTCGGAGATTTTTCAACCACGAGATACGTTATTTATATACAATTATTATATACATACAATACTTCAATATATATATATATATATATATATATATATATATATATATATATATATATATATATATATAATACTCCAATATTCGGGTGTGCAGCGGAAGATGGGACAAAGAAGTACTCTTTTTAGTTAACCAAGCTTTCGCAAATCTTTATTTGCATCATCAGGGTACTACAATAAACATAATTAGTATAAATTACAGAGTAAGACTTGCTTTGCCTCTTACACTAATTGAGGTTAGTTGTCTTGATGTTTATTAAATGAAACTGGTAACTCATTTGACCCCTGCAACTATGGCGAAAACTATCCAAAAATTGATTTAAAACGTTCTTTAACATACATAAAACACTTAGAACACACATACATAAACATTTAAATAAAATTATGTTAAGATAGTTACAAAAAATCTCCTATTTCTAAAATAAGTCTTTTCATCTTTTCTTTTTCAATAAGTTCAGCTTCTTCAGATATACTATCACCTTTATATCGTTATCATTTAAGATCTAACGTTCTGTCGTTTTAAGTGTTAGGTTTTAAGTTTTAAGTTTAAGTTTAACGAATTCACAAGCGATTCTTTTGTTTCTGATAAGAATATTTATAACCAAAATTTTTTATTGTGACTACGTACATGTTTTGTAACTATTTTAACATAATTGTATTTAAATGTTTATGTATGTGTGTTCTAAGTGTTTTATGTATGTTAAAGAACGTTTTAAATCAATTTTTGGATAGTTTTCGCCATAGTTGTAGGGGTCAAATGAGTTACCAGTTTCATTTAATAAACATCAAGACAACTAACCTTAATTAGTGTAAGAGGCAAAGCAAGTTTTACTCTGTAATTTATACTAATTATGTTTATTGTAGCACCCTGATGATGCAAATAAAGATTTGCGAAAGCTTGGTTAACTAAAAAGAGTACTTCTTTGTCCCATCTTCCGCTGCACACCCAAATATTGGAGTATTGTATTCTATTTGATCAGCGTTGATTACAAGCGTTCATCGCTTTTTCACTATATATATATATATATATATATATATATATATATATATATATTATATATATATGTATATATATATATATTTATATATATATATATTTATATATATATATATATATATATATATTTATATATATTTATTTATATATCATTTATATAAATTTTTTAAATTCCGCATAATTTCTAGATGTACTATTACTATATACTATTTTTGAGTGACAATGTAGATATCTATAAAAATTACTTCTCATTTTTAAGTTAATTTCAACTTTAAATTTCTATTTTTAAACTGTTTAAGATATATTTTGCTCTTTCTTTCTGTAATATGAGACTACTTATTACACTCTAAATAGTAATCTGTTATACACACGTATGAGTTGAATTTGAATTTCATTGTATGTCGATTAGTATTAGTGCTTTCTCAATTTTAAATTTCGTTATTATCGATCCAAAACAAGATTTCTAAGGTAGGTTATTTAATAAAAACCTTAATATTTGATCATCTACTAGAAATCATTTTTACCCAACTCAGGTTGTTGGAGTATATCATTTAAGTTGATGTAGTCAAAGTATGTGGTCTATTGCCAAGATTGAACTGAGTTCTTTTCTTCTCAGAGTAGAGCTTCATCCGTTCAGAGTAGTATTTTAATAGGGAAGTCGCTTAGTTCTTAACTTTAGTAGCCATTGCATTCTTACGTCAATCTAACTTTTAAAGAAACTGCTGTAAAGAGTTATTTTCAACAACACTATTCTCTGAGATTTTTAGGCCAAGATATTCGTCCGAATGAACCGAAAGTATGAGATATTGTAGTGTTCTTTCTTTTATTATTCTTTTAACTTTTCTTTCTTCATTCTTAACGTAACGTGATCCACCCACGAGATTTTCAGGATATTTCTATACGTTCATAATAGCATTAGGAAAAGAATATTGAACGAATAAAAAAAACTTACCCTCACTAGCTCAAAAAAGTGGATTCTAATATAGTAAAGGGCTCTAGGACAATTCCAAACCATGGAATCTCCTTTAGGACAGTCGACTTGAAGCTTGATAAAACATTAGTTTAATATCCAAAATTAATAAGTTTCAACGTGGTTGTTCAAATCTCCAAATTTAACCAAATCCAAATCTAGATATTTTTAAAATATCTAAACGCATCAGGTCTACTCAGTCTGAATAAAATCAGAAGTAAAATCAGAACAATAAGTGGTTGAAAGATAGCACTGACCCTATTACCTACCTTGCGTACCATACAAACTACCCTGTTATATACTCGTTAACTGCATTAGCGGTATAAATAGAAAGCCATAAAAAAGTAAAGGAATCGAAATCCTTCAAGGTGATGACATCAATTGTTCATGATGGAAATGAAATTTTCTCAAGTTTTCTTCTTGTAGTGCCTATCCGTTTCGGATGTTGGCGACCATCACGGTAATCTGTATTTTGCAAATTGCTGGTCTGAAAAGATTTGTGGTTGTTGTGTTGAACCACGTACGTATAGTTTTCAGCCAGGAAATCCTTCGCCTTTCTGGTCCTCGTTTTCTTTCTACTTTTCCTTGTAGAATTAATTGCAGCAACCAATATCTTTCGCTGTTCCTCATGATGTAACTGAGGTATTTGATTTTGGCTGTTTTTATTGTGTTCAACATATCTTTTCCCTTTGCATTCTTAATAAAACGTCCTGGTTATTAACGTGATCAGTATAGGATATCTTCAGGATTCGACGATAACGCCACATTTCGAAAGTCTCAATTTTCTTGCAGACAGCGTTTGTGAGAGTAGTGACATTGTAATAACCTGATTTTTATGGGTACTAATAAATCATGGCATTTGAATTGCTTAGCCATTTTTTGAAATGCAGATTTTGTTTTCCTTTACCCTACATTTGATTTCTAAGGAATGGTCCCAATTTTCATTGACGTTCGTACCAAGGTAGGTGTATGTTTTTACTCTTTTTATTGGTTGAATTTGATGTTCCTTCTTAGAGATCATCATACAGCTTGTCGTGTTTTACTGTATCGAATTTTATGGTAATCAATAAAGCACACATAAATATCGCAATTCACATGTATGTGTACTTGTATGCTTGTGTGCTAAAGACAGCCTCTCTCGTACCCACTTCGTGCCAAAAACACACTGCGTACGGCTGATTTTTCTTCGGATTGATTGTAATGAGAAAATTACATTTTAGATTGGTTTTCATTTTTTTTTTAAATCAAAATGAATAGTGATCTTAATCTATAAATATTTATAATTGGCGGTAGTTTGTAACATAAACATATAATACAAATAGACTGACTGCTGCAATACAATGGTGTTCCCGGCGTTCCCCCAGTACGACAGACAAAACAGACGCAAATCAGTCCCTGCATCTCATTCTAGTTTATTCATTTTCCAGGTTTATCGACCACGTAACCTAAATCAGCAATGAGAAGGTCACATGGTCGATAAACCCGGACCATTAGAAAGAGCTGTAGGGGGGCTGCTTTGCGTCAGTTTTCTCTGTCGCACTGGGGGAACGCGACTGATTCTAACTTAACATTTGACTAGTTGAAGTCACTAGTGGCACACACAAGACATTTGACTAGTGTTTCATATATACTGAAGTTGATATTCATATTGTTACTTTACATTACGTACGTACATTACTACAAAGAAGTAATTTTTATAAGAAGAGTTATGATGTATGTTTATAATTAAAACATATATATTTAAATTTTAGGTTCAAAGGCAATTTCAAATGTGACTCAACAATTTTCTAAACTGAATAAAATCGGCAACTCCTTCAAATCCAGCAGGCTAAAACCGAAGTTCACTGTTGGCCAGAAGAATAAAAATGAAACGTCCAGTGATTCAGATGAGGAATACGAAAATTCTATCTTCCAGCCTGATATTCAAACAGGCATTTCCCCACAGAGTATGGATTCGCCTGGAAATCGTAGTATTGAACAGGGTAAATATACAATATGTAAATAAAATTTGTTTAAATGAGTGGTTTCATATCAAAGACGGACATGTGTCATGCAAGGAAAATTAAAATATATTGGATTTTTGTACACAGCTGCTATTATTCCTTTTATAAAAATCTCACTTCCTATAATTTTAGTAGGCTTCAAAAGTAATTTTGTGGACATTTTGATATCAGAAATATATGAAATTATTATAAAATTATTATTAAATACAGGTTGTCCGCTTTTGGAACAAAAATGGGTAAATGTCTATGTTTGATCCAAATGTGATGGTAGGTGTCCCTTTTTGATGCCAAAAAAATTGTATTTGAAAGAGTGAACCCTCGGTTTGGACCTAACTTAAAATTTAATGCATATAATATTCATATAGAGAATCAGGTATTTTAAATGAAAATCCCAATTTTAAAATCTTTTATTCAAGTTGCATTAGTACCTACCTACAAAGCAATTTAACTAAAAATATATAAAGTAAAATATTCGAACTTATAAAATATTTAAACTTTCGTAACATTCAAATTGAAATTAATACAAGATCACCATAAAAATCAGCATTATTATTTTCACACTCACATGAATCGTCACATTCAGTCGATATTTCAGGTTCTGCTTGCATTAAGTTTTTGTACCACTGCAAAGTATAGATAGTTCATAATGTCGTGGACCTGACGTAATCATTTAGTGACTTCGATCTACGAACGAAACAATAATATCAGGCATTGCTAAAAACATGCAGTTCTCTTCAGTACGTTATCGTAGCGAAACAGTGACGAACTAGTTTTTGCGTTAGTGAAATAGCTTTAATATTTTTATTTTTTTTTGTAAACAATCGTTTTTAATATTCAATCATTTTTTGGATCATTTTGAATAAAAAAGGTTAATTGTAAAGTTGATCGTTTTCAACTTATAAACAATTTAAAATTGAAAAAAAAAACGAAAAATAATGTTTGAAGACTCAAAAACACACAATGATTTTTGAATTCACCAAACCTTGTTATACCAGTTTCTGATACTTAATTTAGTTTGGGCTTATTTAATTTAAAAACATTGTTTTTAGTTGTTTGAGGCCCTTATCACAACCTAAAAATGGAATTATACAAAACTGTTTAATAAATTAGGACCACTTTTTGTATAAGCGACCTCTTGAACATTATTCTGCGGTATTTTATGAATGTGATTATGCAAAAAATCGCATGGGAATATTTTTCCCAAGGAATTCGAGGTTTTCGTCTCGTATAAACTTATTTTGCTGAATTCAAAACCAAAATCGTATTATTTTTCTGTCATACATGGATTTGTTATTTATTTATTTGTCTTCTAGATTTATTTCAGTGCTTAAAAGGTTTATTTATAAGCCAAATTAGTGCAATGTAAATATTTTGCATTTTAACACAGCAATTCTTATAGGCAGTGAAGACAGGAAATCGTAAATTTTTATTACATCTTTCAATGTGATATAAAATAAAAATGCGATGACTAACTGGAAGGTTTATAGCGGCTTCCCACGATCGACGATATTGCGGACGGACGCAGACTGGCTCGCACCTACGCACCGTGGGAATGATCTCGTCCGTGCACGTCTGTGCTGGTGCGTCGAATTCATACAGAGTCGGTAACATGGACGTATAAACACATCTTTGTTTATACGTCCATGGTCGGTAACATCAAAGGTGCGGTAAATGCCCGTGCGACAAGATACGAGCGCGTCCGTGTTTTAACATTCAAGTTAAGTCAGAAATTGTTCATTCGTTGACACGAGTATTTGTCTGTAGTATTGTCAAAGTTGTTTTGCAGTTTTTTTATAAGTTTTTTGCTAAAAAATGGAATGACCCAACAACGTTATTTTTAATTTTTTAAATTTGTATTAAAATGAACCAAGTTTATGGAATTCTACGGCGCCAGAGCATAATAACCGGAACGATATATATATATGATGCATAGAACCGAATAAACAACCAATTGAAGAATAGTACTATTATATTGGAACCAAAGTGCCATAGTTCAAATTGGTGGGCAACACTCAGAAGAAATGAGGATCTGTAGAGGAGTTAGACAGGGATGTGTGTTATCACCACTTTTGTTTAACTTATATTCTGAAGAAATTTTCCAAAACACGCTCAATAATATCGAAGCGGGAGTCACCGTTAACGGAAAATTAATTAATAATCTAAGATATGCAGACGACACTGTGATCATAGCAACGAGTATAGAGGATCTACAACATCTTATCGAAAGCTTGAGTATAAATAGTGCTGAGATGGGAATTACTATAAACGCTAAAAAAATGAAGTACATGCTGATTACAAAAAGGCCACAAAATATACATCACCTATTGACAATAAATGGTAACGTGATAGAACAAGTAGAAAAATATCAGTATTTGGGAACTTTGATCAATGAAACCAATGATCATACTGTAGAAATAAACAGACGAATAGAGATTGCCAGATCAGCATTTATACGAATGAAGCCACTCCTAACGTGCAAAAATCTAAATTTGGAGATCAGACTACGTACCATTCGCTGTTATATATTTTCAATATTATTATATGGAGCTGAGACTTGGACATTAAAAAAATGTAATTCAAAAAGAATCGAGGCCTTCGAACTCTGGTTATACCGCAGAGTATTGAAAATATCATGGACTGATAGAATTACAAATAAAGAAGTACTGGAGAGGGTTGGTAAAGAAACAGAACTAATCACCACTATACAAACCAGAAAACTGGAATACCTAGGCCACGTGATGAGGGGACCAAAATATGAAATTTTGAGACTGATAATACAGGGAAAGATTCAAGGAAGAAGATCTGTTGGCCGAAGGCAGAACTCATGGTTAAAGAATCTACGTGATTGGTACCAATGCAGATCGATTAATTTGTTTAGAGCAGCAAGTTCTAAAATAAAAATAGCCATTATGATTGCCAACCTCCGTAGGGAGACGGCACTCTAAGAAGAAGAAGAACTATTTCGATTAAAGACTTAAAAAAGAAGAGAGACAATTTAATGTCGACATACAAATGGCAAAAAACAAAAGTAGAGACCTACACAGACTATGTCCGACAGTAGGAAGAGCTCTTTATATAGTGCGTTGCCGTCCATGCTCATCGGTTGTCCGCGAGGATCTGTAGAATCGTCGATCGTTGGGAGCCGCTATAGATTAGAGAAACATAATATATCATGTTTATTGGAAACACTCGACATCATTAACACGTGCAAATCCTACCCTGTCGCATAATTTCCTATGAAATTGAAATGGTAAATGTTTTTAGGGTTTAATTATTTTTTCGGGCATGCGTATTAACGAGGTTCAAGAGGTTTTGAACCATCTTTACCATTCTCCCTCCAATTTATTCCAAAATGTTTTTCAACCAATTTTGCTACGTCCTTAACCTTTTCTGCATTTATAAGGTCATACTATAAGTCATTTTATAGGGTTATACCAGTACGAATTTCTTTTTGGTTGATCTGTTCAATAGTGCAGTTGGCCTTAGAAATTTTCCTCTCTGCACCAGTGTCAAGGTTGTAAGTTATCTCTCCTTTCACAACGATGTTTTCCAATTTAGTTTTCCGAAAAATGAAGTTGAGCCGCTGTTTTCATAAAACTTTTTGCTTCTTGTTTCCAGTCCAACGGTACTCAATCCCTTCGAATCAACTTAATCATATTTCTTAAACATCTCATGGTATTCTTGTTTTGTCACAATTGTGTTGATTTTTTTTATATTGTTTCTATCATCCCAAATACTCTGTCGACAGAAAGGAATGAGTGCCCTCTTACAAGAAAGACTGTTTTAATTTTTCGTATTTTTTTGGAGCACAGCTATCCAGAAACTTGCAGTACATAGTTAAAATACTACGAATGGAGACATATCCTGAGAGATCAGCTGATCTCAACTCATTCAATACAATGGAAGCAACCTCGTTGGTTGATTTTTTTGCTTCGTCTTTCGTCCACGTATAAATTGAGAGGTTACTGAAAGGTTATAACAGTAAAACGGTCGTGGATAGTACGCACTTTGATCAGTTACTTTTGGCAAAACAAGGTTCTTCTGACAATCAAAGCTCAAAATACAACATCTTTTTGGTTTTTCTCGCAGGTGTCGGAAGAAGGCTTGGGCCTGTTTCTTGTGTAACTCCATTTTTAGACACCTTTTTCTTCCTCCGTTTTTTCCACTTGGATAAGGTTTTGTGATTATAGGCAAGTACCACATTCATCCATGTAAGAGAATCCAATGTTGAAATCTGAGCAAAATATTTTCCTGACAAATCCCTGAGTAATCTTCTCAGATTCTTCTTTACCATAATTGAACATTTTCCACATTTTGGCGATATTCAGGTCTAATGTAGGTAGACACGTGATGAGTGATGTCGTGAATAATGCGATTCAATAGCTTGAAAACTACAGATGAACTTTTTTACTTATTCTCTTTTCGGATCAAACTTAACTTCCTTGTGGTTTCCGCCTCGAGTTTCCACTGGGACATGAGATACACCGTTTTTGAATTTTCGGAACACGCCTATAATTCTATGCTCAGTAATAGGCTGCAAAACTATGGTAGATACATACTTCCGCTAAATAGTTTCAGCTCAGTAAACTCCCTAAGTCCCATTCGTTTTTATATGCTCACCAGTGTGAGCATATAAAATGCTTATCAGTGTATATTAGACCTACTAGTTTTATTTATTTTAATATACATGTATATTTGTAGGCCTTGAAGCTACTGAAGACATAGATATTACTCCCAAAATCGATGCTTTCCTCCCGAGCGTAGGCATAGTTATGGGCAACAAAACCGATAATGTAGACGGCGTCTTAGAGCAAAGACATAACTTATTAAATAGAACAGACTCTTCTCATATGGACGACGTTAAACTATCCAGTATTATGCAAAGCGTTTCTATTAGTTCTGGCTTGAGTCCAGCGCCGGAAATTCAAATTAATTCCGAAAATATGGACGAATCGTCGAAAAAGAACCCTCCAAACTCGTTGGCTTTGGATAGAAAGTTTAGCAAGTCATCAATTGAAGTAAATGAAACAAAAGATAAGGTAAGTATACAAAGTGTATAATGAAAAAATAGAACTCAATAATTTTGGGTGGAGTCAACAATATGGTGAAGTGTAGATACCATAGGAAAATTATGGAAACGGTCCAATATCTCGCGAAATACACTGCTAAATGAAAAATCAAAAAACACGTGTTTAATATTTTTTACTAATTTATCCAAACATGACCCCCACAGCGGTGATTCGAGTGGAAACTTTAAAATTTTTAATAGAAACCTCCATTTTTTATTGCAGATTCGGATTTTACAAAAATTCATAATACAAGCATAGTTAGTTTGTTTTCTAGTTATACAATTAAATAATTTGCCGTCATTGTTTGTAAACACGAAAAAACTGTTTTTATAAATGTTTATTAGGTAACTAATATAATTATTTCACGACATATCAACTAATATATCTAAAACAAAAAACATAAAAGCGACATGAACAGTAAGAGAAAATCGTGTGCAAAAATGTCCAGTAATGGAGTCTAAGCTAATGAAGAAAATGACAAGAGGTCCATATGATTATAGATTCAACAAAACTTATGAAATTTTGTGTGCGAAATGGTATGACAATAGTGTTTCTTCTATGTTATCCAATTATGATACCATTGAACCTCTAGGTCACTTAAAACGGTGGTCCAGAGCATCACAATCAAAAGAAAATGTAGTATAGTCAAAATTGTTTGCTCCCTACTATTATGGAGTGGATGGAGTAGATGCGCATGATCAGTACATATCAAGTGTAAAAGGTAAACACGTGGTGGGTTTTATTTACGTACTTTCTTGACATGATCATGACTAATGCCTGAAAGTTTCAGTGGATCGTGAAAAATGTGATGGATCAGTTAGAATTCCGTCGTCATATGTGAAGTAGTTATTTGAGAGATGTTGTCACTTTAAGAACACCAAGAAAAAACAAAGCTGGCTCCAGCATTGAAGTCATCGAAGGCTTTCATTTTCCGGGAAAACTGGAAAAACAGTTAAAGTGTTCTGTCTGTCATATGAAGGCAAGGTATACCTGCAAAAAGTATGAAAAAACAATGTGTATTGAAAAAAGATGTTTTGAAAACTACCATACAAGTACCTAACGCCCCCATTTGACGTTTGATGTCCTTGTATTTCAAAAAGATTTTGAAAAACAAATATATTTTTTGATTATATATGTAAAAAATGTAACCCAAACATCACAATTTTGTATCGTTTACCATTTGTTCCAAGCTAGTTTCTTTGTTGGCGTTAATCAAATAAAGTAAGTAAGAACTCACAACCTAATATCCAAAAACCATAAACACACAATAGACAACAACTAGGAATTAGTAATGGGAGAATTATAAATTAAATACGTGAAAAACAACCTAAAGATCTAAGACTATAACATGAGGAAAATAATAATTAAATAGCTACAAATACACACAACTAAATAACTGGAATATAAGGAACTAAATAACACTAAATTATTACATAATTTTACAGGAAATATTACAGGAGAAACTTAGAAAATATAAAGGAATAAACACGAGGAAAAGTTGTCACTTTATTTCTGAAATTTTAACAAAATCATCATCCGAAGAGTCACAATCTTATTGTGACATTTAATACTGTGGCTTCATTTGTAACACAAGCAGAAGTTATATTAGTATCATAATACCTTTTGCAGTCAGACCAAACATTCTCTGTTAGATTGAATCGACAATGATATGGAGGCAGTCTCAAGACCAGATGACCATATTGAAGGGCCAGTCTCTTCAATCTGTTAAACAAAATATAGAAAAATGTCATTTACTAAATAAATTCTAAGACGTATACAGAGTTTATCTGGTAGATGCTTCTTTACAATATCCATTAACTCAAACTTCATCATAGTCACTATAGTATCAATACTTGTTCCTTTTCCGTATACCTTGGTATTTTAAAAATATTTTTTAAATAATATCAAATACTGACCTTAACGATAACGATCACTTTACTCTTTGACACTTCGAAAGAATGGCCAATATGGATGAAGCTTTACGTCAAATGTTCGAATCAAATATAGGTTAGGTACAAGAACACTAAACACAGATAGGATGGATTTTGTCTTATGCTCCAATGTAAGAAATGCGTTGGGTTGAGTGTGACGCAGGCGTGGGGATTCGTGGTTGACATTTCTTATTGTTTTATATAGAATAGTTGTGCCTGCTGGTAATTTTTTTGTTGTACTAGCGATTTAACGGCCTTACAAGACTATTTAATTATTGTTTCTATATCAATTTACTTGTATAAACAAAATGGGTGGTAATATATGTGCCATATATGGTTGTGACAATAATTTTAAGAGTGTGAAAACCAAGAATATACCTGTTATTTTTCAAAGTTTTCCAAAAGGAAAGGATTTAGTGTCGAAATCTATAAGAAGAGCTGATAATTTTAATCCCGATTCTAGTAGAATATGCTCTGCTCACTTTACAAACAATAACTATGAAAAAGATAATAGAAAATTAATTATTAGGTAAAATGATTAGCAATAAAATGCTTATAAAAATTTTTTAACGTAACTTATTTTAGGTTTACCTACTAAACGCCTGTTAAAGAAAACTGCAGTCCCAATACTTTGTTTGTATAAACACACCATCTTTGACACACCTGTCTCTACTCGTGAAGGTAGATTAGATGTTATAAACAGAAAGCAACTTGTAGTAGAAATTACAAAGGTTGGGTCAAATATTTTGAATATTGCATCTTATCAACATGAACATACTATTACTGAATCTGAAATAATTTTTAAACAAGCTGGTGACAATATAGATTTAAAGCCTGAAGTAGATTTTGAAGCAAAATGCAACCAATTATTAAACAAGTATAAAAGGTAATTTCACATACAAAGTTAGTGAATATAGTTATAGTTTACCATCATGGATGCAGCAATTCTCTTATGGAGGTCTTATCAAGCCTACAGATGAGTGGTTCATAAAAATAAAATTATGCAATAAATATTATGAAAAATATATTGATACCTATAGGAAAAATAATGGAGTTGTTGGAAACATTACAAAAAGGATTTAAAAAAAAAGAAAAAGTGTTGCCATATGCGCTTATTAAAACTTTTCTAAACTTATAACAATATTTAGAACAAATTATAGAAATTTAAAATCCAAGGAAGCTGAAAATTTGAAACGAAAAAACTTATCCGTGTTGGATTCAATTAGGTCAAAAATTAGAAAATTAAATAAAATTGTTCCATAGGGAATGTTTCTAAAGTTTCCTAGTATTGTATACTGTTTTGTTTTACCTATGTATGTTTATGAAATAAATAGTTCAGTATTGAATAGTTTTATTTATCATCAAATGTTTTTGAATATTAATTTGTGCTCTGACTACGTAAGTAAAACAAGGATTTATAGATTTTATTTACCAGAAATATTTACTTTGAGAGTAAACTGGCATTTATTAATTTAATTATAACACTAGCAAATGCATTCCTTTCGAAAATAATTTTTTTTTGCCATGTAAGACGGATCATTAAGAATTTATAAGTCTGAATGTCTTAGGTACTGTTAAAAACCTTATTATCTGCCATTTATTTACAAAAACAAAACGTAAATTTTTCGTTTTAAACTTTTTAATCTCAAATTAGGCTCAACTTCCATAAAAATTAATAGTAACAATAAGGTTGATAATAATTGCTCATCATCCCCACGCCTACGTCACAGCCGCGTGTTGCAGTGACAGACAATTTTGGGCGATGGAACTATCCTATGTAGTCAGCCGTTCTTGGGTTAGGTATAGATCGTTTATGTATGTAACTGCAATATTTTTGTGTTTAATCGCGGGACTTCCACTTTTTCCGTCACATGCAACTTAATGCGTTAGAAAGAAATTGACAAACTTTTACGCACTGAAAGAAGGCTCTGAGAATAACTTTAATAATATATTTTTTAGGTTGAATACAAGCCCATTGACCGTTCAACTTCCGACTATGATGTGCAGCTAAACATTTCTCAATCCCAAAGTGAGTCTGCTTTAAGAAAGATGAGCACAATGACTCCAATGGAAACCACCAAAGACTTAGTAAGTTATTCTACTGTATAAACGAGTAGTCAATAAAATGTAGATTGTTACCGAGAAAGTTCTATATACTTGACAGCTTAATTTAATTTTCAAACGATATATTATTTCCTACAATATTCTTTATACATTAGAGTTTAGATTGACTCTAATTTTTTTAGGTACTATCCCCGTTGAGCAAATTGGCGAAAGGCGTTCAAAACATCGGTGCTAATTTGGATCCAAGAAAACTAAGCGGACAAGTACGACACATCAGCGAAAGAGAAATGGAGGAACACAAAAAATTACAGCAGCGTTGGCAGAATAGTAAAACTAGACTAATTGCTCTGTGAATTTTAGCGCTAGCTTTCGAGGTCATTTTATGCTTTACATCTTGTTTAATTTATTTGTCACCCTTGGTTTTATACTTATCCTCACCTTAAGAGGCTACCATGTTGTTTGTCTCTAAGCAACAATTATCTCCTTTATGGGTATCGTTGGGCGGAACTATAAAAAATATTTGTGATATAAAAAAGTATATGCTGCAGGAGTTTTATCTATACCGGGTGATTGACCTGGGTATAAAGGATATTATGGATATATGTGATAAGGTAATAGATTACCTTAATGATTTAACTAACGATAACGTTAAGATTTTCAAAATATTCTCTCTACCAGAATTCAATTTATTTAATTTTTTACTTTCTATGCGATTAAAAAATCGCATAGAATCGCACTCTTTTTTTATTACTCGATATTGTATACATAACCTAAAAATGCATTGTATTCGAAAAAAGCATACAATTCTTTTTTTGAAGATTGCTGCAGATCCATTTTTTTTATTTTGTGTATTTTATTAAAAGCTGTATTTCTGATTTTTTTTTTCAGATTTTTCCATAAGGTGAATCCTCTCCAAAAACCCGAAAAACTGCTTTTTAGGGGTTTTTGAGGATTTTTCCCATTTTATAGACTTCAAAATAGATCAAAGCAAGGTTTTTTCTTTAGATTATATATAATTTAAAGTAATAAAGTCCTTTAGGACATTCCAAAATTGAGCGAAACACGTTCAAACTCCGAAAAACCGTTTTTTTCTGGATTTTTAAGGGTATTTGCGACTTTTGGGGGTTAGTCATTTTTTGATGAAAACCCTGCCACCCGAATGAATTTTTTTAATTTTCAACGTTTTATGTGATTAGGACTTAGAGTAATTTTAGCCCGCCATCACCTCATCCCCCCTAAAAATGTTATTTTTCGTTTTATTTTCAGCGGATTGCCATAAATTTAAAAATTTTTAAAAATTTACACGCATATTTGAGGTTTTTACAAAACTTGTCTATTTTTTATAGTCCCCTTGGTTCGTGTACATAACCTCAAAATGCATTCTTTTTAAGATGGCTACAGGTCTAATTTTTTTATTTTGTGAATTTAATCAAAAAATATGTTTCTGATTTTTTCCGTAAGGTACGCCACCTTCACACTGGGGGGCTAAAATTGCGCCTAAAATTGTGTCTTATTTTTTAATCACATACAACATAAAAAAATTCAAAAAATTGAATTCTGGGCGTGGGGGCATTTTGCCTAGGGGGTGCCCTTTGTGGGTTCATATCGAAACGTCACATTGAAACACGCTGTAAGCGTTATAGGGAGGAAACGGGAATATTTCTTACCCTCGGTTACGGGTGCAGCTAATTCTGCTGTAGATGAATCATAGGTAATTAAGGAACAGATAGTCCAGCTCAGCACACTGAAGACTCTTAGGTCACGTTTAGATTTAAAATATGGTAGAGTCAGTCAACACGCTATAAAGCTCCTTTTCTTGTGATCTACAAATTCGTTCTGAATCAATTGCAATGTGCCCTCTTACCCTGTAAGCATTTAACATTGCAACCATTAGTACACGAGTTAATTTTATTCGATTTTAGGGGAGTAGTTATGCTTTACTACTACAATAGTGGATAGGAGTCGGTCCGTCGGTCTGGGGATATTCTGTGCCCGGTATTATTTGTGACGTAACTATTTCTAAAATCATTACAAGATAATCGAATTGGAAATTTAAGGCGGATCTATATACAAATCCCAGAATTAAGATCTAACTATACTAGGACAATTTTCAATTAAAGGTGACTCATCTACAAATTGATGTGAGAGCTAACGGCAACAATGTTAAATGCCAGAAATAAATTATTACCGGGGTCATTTTTATTGTGAATGCTTCGCCAATATAAATAAGTGAAAAGTAAGATTGTTCCATAAAATTCAATGAAAATAAATAAAAAATACACTACTATATACACTCATTCACATGATAATAGTTTAGCTTACGTCATTTTAATTTATATGAAATATAAAACAAATAAAAACAAGGAAACTTTCAAATAAATTAAAAAAACAGAAATATAACGTTTACAGCACACAGCAATTTTATAAATAATGAATGAAGTGTAATGACGGGATCCTATGTTAAAATTTCAGATTGTTTAGTCTATTGACAAAATAAGTATTTTGCAAAGTTTTCTGTTTTTTTATGTATTGTCACAGAATACATAACACTTAGAATGCCCACTCTCAGATGCAGCCTTTGAAGTGTGTCAGCACGCGATCGCCATATTTTAAACGGAAACAGACACGGAATGAGAAATTTGTGACAAGCTATGACAGAACCATAATTTAAATTTTTAGAGCTTAATAATTTAGTAAATTTGAAATAATTTAATCTATATACGATATAAAATATTGCATATTATGTCTATGGTTGCCGTAAATCAATTAAACCGGGTTAATTTTTTTATGCACACCAGATATCTCACTGAACATCACTGATTCCGTTTAAAACATGGCTGATTCCATTTCCGCGAACGAGATACGCGTACTTATCTTGACAAGCAGAGTGGGCATTCTGATGTTATTTATTCTGTAGTATTGTATTAGGCGCTCTATAATGACAATAGAATTTTACTGTTTTTCGTTAGACAACTATAAGATACCTGTCAAAATACACATAAGAATTTAATAATTATATCGGTCTTAGATTTAATTATTACGTAATTACTTATGTGTTTAAATAAACAATTAAAATATTATTTTGGTACGCCTCTACAAAGTTGATAAGTGAAATATGGTTTCGTCGTTTTAAGTGCGATGTTACCAAGTAACCACCTTCAATTAAAAATTGTTTTAGTATTACAAGTGTCTTGTTATAACACACTTTTTGCTTTTTATTTGAGCGGTAAGACACATGCAGCACTCAAAAACCGATTTATAAAAATTGTTATCTTATATTGGGTGACAAATATTTTAAACTTGTTTTAGATTCAGCTCAACTCAACAGAAGTAGTGATTATTTAGTGATATGTACAAAATGTTATCGCATATATTTATTACGTCATTGTAAATATGTAGATGATGTTATAATTTATTTTCTTTATACTCACTATTTATTTTATAACGTAATTTAATCCAATCATTTATTTACTAATTTTAACTGACCAGTTATTGATACTATTAGTTGTTTGTACTTATATTGTTATTGATTATATTATATTACATGATCGTTTAAGGAATCCGAGTGAATATTATTAATTTTAGGTTTTTTTTAGGTTTTTTAATTGTAGCTGAGCATATTCCAAATTCACAACATATCCAACATAGTACTAGTTCAATTTGTGTATGTTTACTTTCTGACATAAATGAAACATTTCCAATTCCTCAAAACTTCTACTTTAAAATATGCATTCTCATTTGAACGTCATGATTCATCATCGTCATCTGTGACTACTGACAGCCAATGGAAGGTCATGGTCGCCCGTTGGGATTGCTAGGCTCTAAAGTTTTACATGATGTGGAGGCCAGCCAGACACATAACTCCTAAAAAAGTCAAGCGTTTTATATCTAAAATCATTACCTTCGTTGCTATATCTAAAATCCATCTCTTTCTGGACCTACTTCTCGGTCTCTTCCCCTTTTAATACTTTTCTAAGTACTGTTTTTGTATTTTTCTCATCATCCATCCTTTCTACGTGTCCCAATCAACTCAGTCTTTACTTCGTATTTCTTTTGTGAGTCGGTCAATTAAGTATTCTATTTATTTCGTGGTTCATTCTTATATGCCATTCCCCATTCTTCTGTATAGGTCCATATATTTTCCTTAAAATCTTTCTTTCCCATCTAAGAAGTTATTTCTCTGGTTCACTAGTCAAAGTCCATGTTTCTGATGCATACGTTACTAATGCCCAATTTCACCAATGATACCTAAACAGTTGCATTCGGCAGTAATTCTTATCAATAGTAACTTCCTAAGTAAATACTTAGGTACAATAGCGTTTCACGACTAAAAGAATTGCTTATGTAGAAAATTCTTTCTTAGGTATTAACTCGGGTACGTTTGAACTATTTTTGATAAATAAAAAGAAGAATAAAATGTCATAACCTTACTTTTTCTATTTGTTATTATTGAATTGTTTTTTATTATCAGATTGTTCTAAGGCGCTAATACAACATTTTCGATAAATTACTATATAAGAGTATTCGTATCATATCAGGATGTATGAGATCTATCCCTATTCATGCATTGTTAGGTGAAAGTATTCAAATTCCTCTTAAGTACAGATGGGAATGGCTTAATTCTAAATTCCTCCTAAAAAGTCTTATGTTAATTAATAAATTAATAATTTCTGCCTTAAATCAATTACAGATATCAATGCAAACAAATCATAATTACTGGAATACAAAAAGTATTCTCCTCTTAATTTCTATCAATAATAAATTCCAGCATACCCCAAATTTATTTTATAGTGACTTATTCCCGCGCCACAATTTTGAATTAGAATATCAATTAACTTCTATCCCTATTATGAATGAATCTCACTTGATAATCCACTTCACACTATAATGTTTACAGATGGGTCAGTTGACAGTAAGGGCTCAGCCGGATTTGGTATTTTTTGTCCTGACTTTGAATACTCATACTCTATAGTGTATTTTTATGTATGAGAGAGTAATAAAACCATAAATTATGTATGCAAATCCCTAAACTGTTGATACGGGTGACTCAATGAAAAACAGATATTTGTCAACAAGTTTACAGAAGTATATAGGAAAACAATTTTAAATTGAGTATGACCACCAGGTATAAAGGTTGGAGCAGAATAGAATACAATAGTTGTGAGGGTTACTAATCCCTAAATAAGGTTGCCAGTGTCGGAGTGATGGAGGTTAACAGGTACTAATGAATTTGCAAGAAATGTAAGATGTTTATTTTATTGGTTATATATAACCAATAAAAGTTTAATAAGTACCTACCTATTTGCAAAATAAAGTTTAATTCTTTAGATAAAATAAAACGTTTTATTTTATCTGAAATGAGTGCATTCCACGAAGTAAGGGTTTCAACAATCAAACATTTAATTCTTTAATTCCAGGAATCTACGACAGTAATTGACTAGATAATTACCTTCTCAACTTAATCCACATAAAATGTGATAGTGGGTTTTTCCATTTTGTAGGAAGGTCCAAGTGGCGTATTCAAAATTCTTAACAGTTCACTAAAAGTAGGTACTTCAGTTGCAAGGTGCAGTTTATTGTGTATACTAGTGTTATGGAAAATTTGGAAGTGCCGTGTAAACGCCGAAAAATTGGTCTAACAGTTAATGAAAAAACATTAATATTTAATTGTTTTAAATCATTTACAGACAAACGTTTATGTGAAAGTGTTGATGAGACCGTTGAGTTAGTTAGCAGTACACTTGGTGTTGGGAAATCTACGATTTACAGAGTTATTAAAGAAGAGAAATGTGGTAGTTTTCAAATGCCACGTAATGCTCCAGGGAAACCAAAATTTCAAATAGAATATCATTTTAAAGAAGGACTTCGACGGAAAGTGCATGAATTCTTCTTTAGACAAGAATTTCCAACATTGGATAAAGTTCTTGTCTCAGTTCGAGATGATAAGGATTACCCAGAAATAAGTCGAAGTACGTTATGGAAACTTTTAAAAGAAATAGGCTTCCGCTGGAAAAAGAATCCCAGAAAGTCTATTTTATTAGAAAGAAGCGATATTGTCATATGGAGAAGACATTTTCTAAGAACCATAAAGGAAATGAGAAAAAAAAATTTTATCTTGATGAAACATGGATCAACGAGGGTCATACACCAAATAAATTTTGGCAGGATGAAACTGTTACAAGTCAAAGGCACGCTTTTGTAAATAACTTATCTACTGGTTTAAACCCACCATCAGGAAAGGGACGCAGGCTGATAATAGTACACATTGGCAGTTCAGACGGTTTTGTTGAAGGTGGTGTATTAACTTTTGAATCAACTCGTACCGGTGACTACCATGAAGACATGAACGCTGATGTCTTTCAAGAATGGTTCGAACAAATGATAGATCTTCTTCCTAAGAACTGTGTAATAGTAATGGATAATGCAAGTTATCACTCCAGACTTATAGAAGGACTGCCCACAACCAAGTGGTTAAAAAAAGACTTGCAGAATTGGCTGAGTTAAAAAAATACTACGTACCATCCCGGATCTATAAGAAAGGAACTTTATTCGTTGTGTGCCCTTCATAAAGAAAAATTTAAAAAATACGAAATTGATGAAATTGCCAAAAATCGTGGAATGACAGTACTTAGATCCCCACCATATCATTGTGAATTAAACCCGATTGAACTGGTATGGGCACAGATAAAGAGTGAAGTTTCAAGAAAAAATACCACTTTTAAAATTCATGATGTTAAACAGTTGTTTTTGGAGGCCGTAATAATGTAAAACCTGAAAAATGGGAAAAGGCAGTAAATCACACTATTAAAGAAGAGGAAAAAATGTGGAAGCTGGACAATATTACTGATAAAATGATCGAGCCAGTTATTATAAATCTTGGTTCTGAAAGTTCATCTTCTGAATCTGATTTGGATTTGTAACAAGTAGCTGTAATTTTTATATTAAAATTTTTATTCATCTATTTAATATACCTTAGACGGTTTTAAAAACTCTTTTTCTCTTTTGTAATTTTTAAAAATTAAAAAAAATGTGAATTTTTTAAAACCCTTTTAATGTAGGCCAGTCAGTTCTAATATAGTGTGTGATAAAAGAGGTCACTTTTGTTTACATACACATAACACTTTATAACACTGAAATAATTCATTTATTTTTTACAATTATTCAAAGTAATTTTTCAATTAATCTTGAGCACGCCCATGGAGTGGTCGGAGATACCAGTTAAAATTATGCTAATTACTCTCTCGTTCATAAAAATAAACTATAGTAAACTCCTTACACAGACTCAAATTTGCACTGCATATATTATTGCCAATCATCAGAACCTTAGTATTACTGTGCCATGGATTCCAGAGTATTCGGATATTAAGGGCAATTGTGTTGCGGACAAATATACCAATAAACATACATTTGGGAAATGTACCGATAGAAAGGGTTGATAAATAAAAATACCTTAACCTGGATTTCAGACAATAATGATCAAACAACCGAAATAAGAGCCAGGATAGAAATAGCAAGAAATGCGTTTGTAAAAATGAAAACAATTCTCTGCAACAAAGACCTTAGATTAGAACTGAGAGTAAGAGCACTGAGATGCTACGTGTTTTCGATACTGAAATATTAAATTGAAAGCTGGACATTGAAGCAAAAACACATAAATAAGTTACAGTCCTTCGAAATGTGGTGTTATAAGAGGATGCTTAGAATAGCATGGACATAGAAGAAAACTAACAAGGAAGTATTGCGAGAAATGGGCAAAGAATGCGAAATAATAAAAACAATAAAAATAAGAAAGTTACAACATCCGGGGCACGTAATGAGGGGACAGCGATATGAACTGCTAAGGCTGATAATACAGGGAAAGATAAGAGGAGGAAGGAGTATATGAAGAAGGAGAGTGTCATGGTTGAAGAATTTAAGGGACTGGTTTAAATGCAGTTCTATAGAACTTCAGAGCAGCAGTAGATAGAGTAAAAATAGTGATGATGATATCCAACCTCCGATTGGGAGACTGCACTTAAAGAAGAAGAACTGTTTGGTATATTGTTATTTTTAAGTTAATAGATGCTCATTTTGACTTTATTATATTCTGTAGGCTGTAGAGGCATTTGTTTCCAAGTGAAATTCTCGCTGTTACCTCATCACTGTTTTCGTTTCCTTCTGCAACTATTGATTCTAAATATTTGAAATGGTCTACTCTTTCGAATTTTTGCCCGTTTTAAGATATATGAGTGCCTTTCATTTGTATTTCCTGTATTTGAGGCATTGAACTTCTAGACCCATAGTATGTACCGCTTCTTTAAAATATGTATAAATCTTTTCTAGGTCTTTTAATGCCCAGATAATTATGTCTATATCATGATTTGATTAATTTTTGTAAATATTGTATCTACCCTATCTATAGGAGTTTTCCTTAGAACCTGTTGCAACGCAGGTTAAAAAGTGTTATGGATAGCGCATATCCTTGTGTTAGACCTTCATGGATATTCATAGATTCATCGGACAGTTGATTTTGGATTTTTTCTACTGCTTTGATGTTGGTTAGGCATATTTTACT